TTATTTCATTTATTGTTTGCTTTTTAAGTTGTCTTTTCTCATTTTGATTATTAATAATGGTAAGCCAATTTAAATCTAGGCCATAATTATTTTTTCATGGGGAAGTTGTCCAAATTTTCAATTTTTCTTCACAACAACCATATCTTTTAAATCATTTACCTAAAAATATTCCATTGATTCATCCAAGTTTAATTCCATTCATATAATTTCTTTCAATTTTAAAACAATTATAAAAAACTACAAAGTGAACATAAAATTATAAAATTATTTATATATATAGGGATAAGTGTATATGAAAAGTAATAAATATAATGGTTCTAATGAATACCAAAAAGCCATTGATTTTTTAGAAAAAGGATGTGATTGTGATTGTTTTTCCAGAATTCCCAAGGAACAATTTGCAGAATTAAGAGAATCCTTTCAAGCTCTTTCTAAAACAGAACAAGACATATTTTTAATGGCTCAACTTAAGGCAATGGATGGTGGATCAATAAGCACTAGTAGACGCCTTAAAAAGAAAACTAGATCTAATAAAAGAACTTTTTATCACTGAGATCACAATACACCTCTTTGTCAAGAAACTTACCTTAATATGTTAGGAGTTGGCAGAACTTATTTTGAAAACATTAGAAATCATTTGATAAAAAATGGTCTTCTACCAAGAATTCATGGTAATATTAAAAGAATGCCTCAATGGAAAACTAAAATGGTGATTGATAAAAATGTTGCTGAAGTAATAAAGAATTTTCTAGAAAATTATGCAGAAGTCCATGGATTACCAAGTCCAGGAAGAAATATCAATAGAATAACTCAATCAATTATATTCTTACCAGCTGAAATGAGTTATAAATCAGTTCATAGAGATTTTCTAGCTGGTCTAGAGGAAGATAGTAATTTGAAATCCTTGAAGTATGATGCTTTTAGGAAGTTGTGACATCAATTAACACCAGAGATTCAAATTATGAGTCCCAGGACTGATTTGTGTGATACTTGTCAACATTTTAGAGATTGCTTACATTATAGTGCTCACCAAGAAGAAGAAGCCAAAGATTTGCTCAAAAGATTTAAAAAACATCTGTCCAAGGCTAAATTAGAAAGAAATTATTATAATAAAAATACAAAATTAGCAGAAGGGCAAAGAAAATTAGTTAATCAGAATTATTCCAAGGGTAAAACACAGTATTGTAGTGTTGATGCTACTGCTCATTATGGTTATGATTGAGCCCAAAATGTTCATGTGCCACATTTAGATCAACAAGTAAGTAAAATCTATTACCTTAGTCCATGTAAAGTTCATTTATTTGGTATTCAAGATGAAGCAGTAAGGGAGCAAATTAATTATGTTCTTAATGAAGATGAAATTATAGGAAAAGGTCCTAATGGAACTCTTAGTATGATTTTTGATGGAGTTAAAAAATTGAATAAAGGTGAAAAACATTTAAAGATTACTTGTGATAATGCTGGAGGACAGAATAAAAATAACACCACTATTTGGTTTTACTTGTATTTGGTAATTTGTGGTTATTATGAAAGTATTTCATGATTCCTAGACATACCAAATTCAAGTGTGATGGTAGTTTTGGCTTGATTAAAAAACTCTATAGAAGAACAAGAGTAGATTGTGTAGATCATGTAGTTGAAGTGGTAAAAAAGTCTAGTCCAGCTAGATTAAATAAAGCTCAATGTTATGAAGGTGGAAAAGGTTTTCAATACTTGGATATCAAATCTATTTTAGGAATTTATTTTAAGAAATTACCAAGCATTCAGAAATATCAACATTTTCTTTTTGAAACATCTAATTTTGGTACAGTGAAAGTTCAAGAAGTTGCTAATGGATCTTTTACTGAATTCAATTTATTGAAAACCAAGAAAGCAGAAATTTTTGAAGAGATTAAAGCTTTATCTATTTTAGTGTTAACACCTCCTCCTTTGGATTACAAAAGATAAGAATACCTTTATAACAGTATTCGCCCATTTGTAAGGGATGAATACAGAAATATTACTTGTCCAAGACCATTCTATACTGGCAACAAATAAAATATTCAGAATAAAATCACTTCCATGACTTTGTCATTCATTAATTTGTCTCTTGCTGTCATTAGGTTTAATAGGTTTAATCTTTTGATAAATATTGTTAAATTTCCCACTTTTAAAATAAAGAGTGCTCAAATAATTTATATACTTAACATACCCTCATAAAAAGGATATAAGTATATTAAAAGAATAAATAAAAAAAAGGACAAAAATGGTAAACATTATAAACAAACAACAACAAGCAAATAAAGCACTAATAAATGAAATAGAATTATTGAAAAAGAAATTAGCTGAAAAAGAAGAAAACTTTAAGCTAAAAAACTGAAATGCAGTTCACAGTCTTACTGAAAGTTCAAAATATACTAGAACAAGTTTAAGAACCTTAGAAAGATTTACTTGAGTTGACAATGGTTGAGTAAGTTATCTAGAAAAAAATGGAATTGAAATTGGAAGAGTTGTTTTTAGCAACAAATTCACTCCTGAAAACATTGTTAAAAGTTTTGGTCATGAAGCATTAAATTATGAAGAAGCTTTTGATTTTACTTATCAAGAAAAAGAAGAATTAAAAGAAAAGAATGCTCTTCTAGAAAAAAAAGTTGTTGAGTTACAGCAAACTAATCAAGAGTTGGAAGAAGCATTAGAACTAGAAGTGGAAACATCTGAACGTCATTTAGAGGCTCTCAAAGTAGCTAGACAATGAAGAGTAAGACAAAGCAAGGAAAAAGATGGCAACTTAGAAAAGGCTTTGAGAAAAATAAAACTGCTAGAAAACACTGTGGCATGGCAGAATTATTTAGCAGACAAGCAACTTCAAGAATTACCATCCTTACCAAAAAAAGAAAGAAAATTCCAACTCCTAACCAACAAAGTAAAGAACAGAATCAAGCAAGTAAAAGAAATAACTAGGGAAAAATTCAACACCTATATTTTACAAAAGGATAAATAGTATGAAATTAGAATACCAAGTTAATGAGTTAAGAAGAGGAGATAAATGGTATTGTAATTTCTGCTCTTTTGAAAGAGAAAGGAGCTCAACTGCTACTTACAAAATAATATCTTACAATATAGACAATAATGATTACAACAATATTGCTTATATCTGTGTTGAGTACAAAAAAGCTCTTGATGATGATACTCTGCCACATTGTAATGATTGTGGTCGAGCTATGAGAAATAGAATAGACTGTTTTTGTGATTTAAGGAAAGATGAATCAGTCAAAACCCCAACCATAACAGAAATAATGGCACAGAGTTATGTTGGCAGATTAGAACAGCAGAATAAAGACTTAAAACAGCAACTATCCAGTGCTAAGGAAGAAATTGGTTCTCATTTGGAAGCTTTAGAAGTTTCAAAGGATTGGCATAATAAGCAGAAGCAAGAATTATTAGATAAAATTCAAAGACTTGAAAGTGAAGTTGAACAATTAAAGAAACAGCAGACTCAACTAACTGCTCAAATTGAAATTAAAGAAACTAAGAAATGACCTTGATTGAAAATAAGAAAGTAATTTAAAGAATATTGAGGAAATATTTCTTCTATATAAATTGAAATTCATTCCAACTATCAGAGAAAATGATAGTTATTTTCCTTTTAAGGATTTTTGCTTTTTATTAGGTAATAATGCATCATCATGATGCCTTCTTTTTCCACATTGATTATTTTTTTTTTCTTGATAGTAATCCTTTCTTTTCTTAGATAAGCTTCCAGTGTCTGAGTATCATTTATTTTGAAAATATAAGGAGCAATTTTTTCGCCTTGTTCCTTTTTTAAAATACTTCTGATAGTACTATAATTCTTGGGTTCCATGGTAGACTTAATGTAAATTAATTTCATATTATCATTTTTATAGAGGTAATTCTATATTATATATATTATTTAAGATAACAGATTGATATTATAAAACTGATAATTATAATCACATTACAAATGACTAAATTTTGATCCCTGAAATCTCTAGTGATACTGATGTTCACTTTGTCTGGTTTTGTTGCAGCATGCCCATATACTAAAGGATGATTAAAATGTTACACATAATTCCAAATTTGGGGGTTACAGATTGTACGACGTGAAATTCCTAAACACGCATTTTTTTTTGCAAAAAAACGCGTCAATTTTCACAATTTAATTTTTTCTTGCAATAAATAAAATTAATAAAAATAAAATAGATTTGTTTTTTTCATAATGAAAATTGAGAAAAATTTAGATGATATTTCTAATATTTTTGAGGATAGTGATAATGAAAAGGAAGATGAAGGAAAAGGAAAATCAGTCAATTACAGCGACATTAAAAATACTATTACTGACGCTGCTGAAAGAATGAATTATAATTATATGGATTTTGATGGTAATGGTGATGATGGATTTGTGATAGATGATGATGGTGCAGGTTATGTAGAACATAAACCGTATTGGGAACAACAACCAAGTGGTAATCATATCATCATTATTATTATTAACGTGATGAATGCTTAATGATGGAAATGATTTTATTATTTACTTTGTTTTTTTTATTAAAATAAAGATATAACAAAACCTCAAGAGCCTTTTCAGCCATGTTCAACACCTAGTAAAAATAATCGTCGTTATTTAGGTAAATTTGTTTATACTTATTTAGTAAATGGATATATTATTAAATATAAAGATTGATATTATTAGGCCTTATTCTAGCTCTAAAAAAAGTAAATATTAATTAATATTATAATTATTTTCTCATAAAAAAAATTTGTTTATAGTTTTAAATAATGTAGGAAGTATCAATAGTACAAAAAATGATTCCTACTCAATGATCAATGTAGAATTTCATAACAAGACACAAAATCGCGGTTATAATTTACATGATGATTTTAATTATTCGATGGCATGTCTTAATTTTCAAGGTGCATTATTTGCAGTAGGATCAAGCAAAGATAGCCCAAGTGTTTTATTTTTTAAATCTCAAAATACTTGGGCAATTAAAAATGAATGGATGACCACTTTTCCTAAAGATGAAGTTATTATAGGTACGATCAATCATATCAATATTAATGTAATTGATCAATCTATCAATAATATTTCTGTAATAATTATATCAAAAAAATAGGAATTGCACTAAGTAGTCTAGCGATAATTGTCGCAACTTCTAAAAATTTCATAAGATTATTCACGCTTTCTGGTGTACAACTTTATATCTTTGCATTGGATTCAGTAGTTTGTATGGATGCTTACCAAGAGTTTGCTTTGATTGTATATCATCTAGGAACAGGTTATCGAGGTAGTAACAGGTCTAATTGATTATCGAGAAATTTTATTTTGGTATTCAATCAATTAATTAACACTGATAAAAAAAATTTGTTAACTAAAGGATCGCAAAATCTTGGATATATGTTGTATAATGTAGAAACAAATGATATTGTTCAAAAAGAACAATTGCCAATATCTAAAGATTCAACTTTAGAATGGATTGGATTTTCAGATAAAGGGGTAATTAATAATTTATTCATCAATTATTTATGATTCTACAGTTTTAATAATAGTATCATCGTTTTTTATATAGTTACCAGCAATGTATGATTCTGAAGGAGTGTTATCTATTTTACATCGTCACAGACAATATCACCAAGCAAGATGGATACCTGTTTTGTATACTCGTAATAATCCAAACCCTGATGATGAAGCATCGTATTATTGGCCTGTTGGATTAAATGAAAACAAATTCTTGTGCATTGCTTGCAAGGTAAAAAAAAATATGAGAAAACACTGTGGCATGGCAGAATTATTTAGCAGACAAGCAACTTCAAGAATTACCATCCTTACCAAAAAAAGAAAGAAAATTCCAACTCCTAACCAACAAAGTAAAGAACAGAATCAAGCAAGTAAAAGAAATAACTAGGGAAAAATTCAACACCTATATTTTACAAAAGGATAAATAGTATGAAATTAGAATACCAAGTTAATGAGTTAAGAAGAGGAGATAAATGGTATTGTAATTTCTGCTCTTTTGAAAGAGAAAGGAGCTCAACTGCTACTTACAAAATAATATCTTACAATATAGACAATAATGATTACAACAATATTGCTTATATCTGTGTTGAGTACAAAAAAGCTCTTGATGATGATACTCTGCCACATTGTAATGATTGTGGTCGAGCTATGAGAAATAGAATAGACTGTTTTTGTGATTTAAGGAAAGATGAATCAGTCAAAACCCCAACCATAACAGAAATAATGGCACAGAGTTATGTTGGCAGATTAGAACAGCAGAATAAAGACTTAAAACATCATTTAGAAGCTTTAGAAGTTTCAAAGGATTGGCATAATAAGCAGAAGCAAGAATTATTAGATAAAATTCAAAGACTTAAAAGTGAAGTTGAACAGTTAAAGAAACAGCAGACTCAACTAACTGCTCAAATTGAAGTTAAAGAAACTAAAAAATGACCTTGATTGAAAATAAGAAAGTGATTTAATTGGCAATCCGTTTATGAATGGGTGCAATGTTGATCATTTTATTATGAAATTTTGTTGCTAATTGTTATTAATAAAATAAGAAATACCCTAAATCTCACCATCTTCACAAGTTATTTCTCATGTACACACAAAAAATATAGAAAACAATCTTAGAATTCTTTCAGGCTTGTTAAATACCTCTTTAAAATTCTTTTGCAGTTATTTTATTGACTTGACTTATAAAATAAAAGTTTTTTTGTTAATAAACCGATAAAAAAAAGAGCATAACTCTGGTCAGAATACTTGATAATGTTGGCTGAAAGTTAAAAAATTCCGAAATTTTTATATATTATTGACTTCTTGAAATCTCAGCGGCCTACATACAAAAGTTTTCAAGAAACATTCCAAACCCTTTAATATTCTAATACAGTAATCTATGAGATTTACTTTATATATAACATAAAAAGAATAAGTTTGTAATACAGAAAATGTTGTGCTTTATTGTTTGTTAAACATTATTGATTGGTGATTTTTTTACATTTTTGCCCCACCAATCACACAAAAATTCTCTCATTCATTCACAGATCATCAATTAAAGTTATTTTTCTCTGTATAAATTGAAATTATCAAAGAAAATGGTATTTATTTTCCTTTTAAAGACTTTTGCTTTTTATTAGGTAATAATGCATCATTGTGATGCTTTCTTTTTCTGACACTTATTATTTTTCTTTCTTCTTGGTAAATTTCATAAGTAATCTTTTCTTTTCTTAGATAAGCTTCCAGCGTCTGAGTATCATTTATTTTGAAAATAAAAGGAGCAATTTTTTCACCTTGCTCTTTCTTCAAAATGCTTCTAATGGTTCTATAATTTTTGGGTTCCATAGTAGACCTGATGTAAATGAGTTTCATATTAACTATTTTTATCTAGAGGTAATTCAATATATCACTTAAGATAACAAATGGGATATTATAAAATTGTTAATTATAATTGCATTAAAGATAACTAAATTTTGATCCCTGAAATTTTAGTAATACAAATGTTCACTTTGTCTGGTTTTGTTGCAGTCTGCCCCAAATGAGATAATTGATTATTCAAAAATGTCAACTGTTTCAAATAAAATTATAGAATGGGATATCTTATGAGCAATTTGAACATATAAAAAAGTTGACAGAAGGTAGATTCAGTTCAATTTATGTTGCTGTGTGGAACAGGAGAGACCATCCTATATAAGGAATGGATTTTCACAATTGATTACAATTTTTTTTATACAGTTTAAAATACTTTTATAAGGGTATCATGTAGCCCATTCTTGCAATAAATCATGTGTAAATAATTACACAAACTTGAAGCTTTACACTTTGTTG